GTAGTAAGAACTGGAGAGGGTGTCCTGGAGATAAGACTCTCCCCCCAACCAAACATTCTTTTTCTTGAAGCACACTGCTTAGCCCAAGTATATTACTATAAGTTTTATGTATTATGGCATAAATAAAATAAAATCCCGATTACTGCCAGGTCGATACACTGTTATTGTTATTGTCACAAAACTAAAGAATAAACAAATGCCTTTTGATGGAAAATATTACTTATTTAGTATTAATCAAATTTATTATTATCTTATTTTTCTCGTATTACTACTATTATCATGTTATAAAATGTTAAAACTGTATCTGTACATTGTATATCCTTAGATGTAGATAGCACTAGCTAAAAACGTCCCTTTGTAAAAGAAAAAAAGTATTAATCGTCCGTCATTTGTAACGCTAACTACCAACCAGATATATTGTAGATATGTTACCTAATCATGTTTTACAATAATATTACTTTACATGGCCGCTCAACTAATTTCTAAAAGGTATCGTAAGTTTATAAGAGGCAATATCAAAATAAAATTGAAATGCATTGTACTATGCAATGCAATGGATTTGCATATTTTTCATAAAAAATAGTAATTTAGAAATTAACTTAACACTTGTAGAAATGATGATTTTTAAAGATAATATTTTTCAATAATAAATATTATAATATTAAATTAACTATTATTTATTAAATTAAAAAATATCCTTCTAATTAAATGAACACTGTTATTTTTTTGATACAACGTTTATACACAATTTTATTTAAATCAGTTATTTTTGTACAATTTTTTCACTGCTGAAATGTAAGTTGATTAATATAAAAAAATTAAAACATTTTTGACAATTTGTACAATTTTCTTCAATTTATTTACTTAAGGGGGATGAAAGCGGTCAATTTTTAAGGAATTGTATATAGACATTACTTAAGAAAAAAAGGGGATTTAATACATTTCTCGACCGTGTTAATACATTTTCATGTTACTATGTAAAAGGTTCAGGATAACTTGCACATTTTTTTCTACAAGTAAAGCCATTTTGTTCCTAAAAGAGACCAATTTAGATCTAAAAGCTAGAATACAAATTACGCCTATTTAGAATGATTCGATTTTGTAAAAATTATTTAGCTGATCGACCTTTTTCCCAGATTGTTGTCGTCAATTTTTGAATAACTATTTCATTTATTTAAAAAAAAAACCAATGAAGTGAATACTAAAAATGTGAGAAATTCCCATAGGATTTAAACACAATTTTAATTGAAAAATCAAAAATCGATTCTCACAAAACCGATAAACTTAAATATTTTTACATATTTGAAATCTGACTATTCTAAGTAGGCGTAATTTTCAAGTTTGCCAGGCTTTAGGTCTAAAGTATCTAAAAAAAAAACCGACCATTTCCAATCCCTTTCAATAGGTTTACAATAAGATAATAATATACAATGCCAATGATTAGTCTATACACTTCACAGTTGCGCATAATAATTTATCAAATCAGTTATTAGCTGTTGCCAATTTCAATACAGCTCGTTAGAAGACAACATGTTATGTTAAAAATCAGTCTTTCTCCAACATCTAAACAATTTACCGGGAGGAAGAATAGTGACCCTAGGGATTTTCCATGCCTCGGACCATTCGTCACTTATTATATTACATTATATAACATAAGAGACGAGAATTTTTGTGCCTAAGTTATTGGGTTACACTACCGCATTGTGATGACGTTAGTGCGGGTTTTTCGGTAGCAACGTCGTCATGCAACATATTATTATATACGGTTTACCAGCGCGTGTTACATTAAGATGATGTATTCACGCAGGTCCCTAAGACGTTAGGGTACGGATAAGGTACGGGAGGGCGGTGGGCACTTTGGAATACAAAAACATAGCCGGCTCGAGGCTCCACGAGAGCGGCCGGGTTGCACAGGGGGTCAACGCACTTTAGATACCTATTCCATAAAACAAACAGAAAATCGCCAAAACGGCTCGTTATTTTTCCATTCGCCGACAGAGCAGATTATACAGCATTATTGTAACTGTTGTATAGAATCTTATTTATTTTTCTCGGCAGCGTCGCTTTGCCGTTTTTATTGTTTTTTCCTCCGGATTCCGGATACACACATCTACCCACACATATGTACATGCAGGGAGCCCACGGCTATGATATAACCCCCTTGCCCTTAATCCTAACTACCGGCGGCGGCCACTACACAGAATCAATACACTCTGTGTTTGAGTGTGTGTGTGTGCCATATATATCTTCTTTTTTCCTCTATTCTCTGTGTCCCCGAATCGTCGCCAAACACTTCTGCTAACAATCTTGCCTTAGCAATAATTGCCTTAGTGTGTATTTGTCTTACACAGTATATCATCTATACAGTACGGTGTTTGGGCCAATCCAATACAGCGGCAACAACGACAATAGCAATAAAAAAATAACGATGACGACGACGACTAGGTCGGCTGTATTAGCTGGTAGATACACCGGCGCCTTTGCGCCTTTTTCCACGTAAAGCGCACCCGTCGAAAGCTATTGTTTTGCGTGCGGAGGAAAAGCCGTTGCAAATTGAAAATAAAATCCCCTTTAAACACGAGGCGGGGCCGGGGGGGGAGGGAAGTAGTTATGCGAAAATTGGACCTGCGACGAGGTAAGAAAATGCAGGTACGACGAGAACCGTATGAGGGGGGGGGGTGGCGGGGTAGCCTGGGGTGAGAAGAGGGGCAGAGCACGTGACGAGGATGTAGAAGACCTCGTTGACGGGGGCGCGGGAGGGGGTGTAGTAGAGGGGAGCGAAGCGTGAAGCGCATTGCGGTATTTCCGAGGCACGACGATTATTACTATTATTATTATTGTATACAATACGGGGTCGTGGCGGGGGGGAAGGGTTGTGCCGCCATGACCTTGCTGGAGGGGAGGGTAGAGGGATGAGACGAGCGAGACGCGTACGTTTTCCGAGAAGACGCCGACGCAATTTATTTTTTCTCATCCCCTCCTATCTATACCTTTATCTATACACGAGCACACAAACATAATAATATATATCTCGACGCCGCCCAGATGTGTCGTTCATCATTATAAAAAACCGACGTCAGCTGTTTATACAGGTGCCTACTATTACAGATTTATTCGTTCCTAGAATGTTATATAGAAAAAAAAAACTTTTAGGTTTAGGTAAAATAGCTCGTGTTTCGTGACCTTATTTTCATAAATCATTTTTTCCACCGGCATATTATTCATAACTACCACCGGAACGCGAACGACATTTTTCATTGGCCGGGCAAAACCTTCCCCGACGAAGGGCCGCATAATCAGAGGTGAGCATCAAATACCATAAATGACAATACCGGAAGGCCAGAGGTGTATTTAGGTGCTCACCATTTTCCCCCTCCCTCCCCCAATATCCGTGTAGCCATAATATATTGTAAGAAATATACCGTATGCGCATTATTGTGTATAATAATAATTTAAATTTCATAAGACAATGTAAAATTTCAATTTTCAGTGTAGACATCGTTTGAGAATAATGCTATTTTGATTCCTTGATTTGGGAAACCCTGTATTTGGGGGGGGGGATTTTGAGTCAATACAAATTATAACATTCCGGTATTGTCATTTATAGTATTTGTTGGGCATACATCAACGATTTCGAGTATCAATGATAGTTAAATAAATTAAAAAAATTATAAGACGGACGGTGGGGTATTTTGGAGGTCAAAGTGATTACAATACTTTCAAATAAATGCTTCGATACAAAAGCACGACTTTATTTTATAAGCTTTTTGAGTTATAACGTTTATAAGGCCATATAGTTTTTATAAAGCCACATGATGATGCTATTATAATATATTATGTACATTTTTTAAAAATATGTAAATTTGTTCAGTGTTTTTTTCGGTTTTGAACTTTTAAAACGTTTGCTCTAATAGATTCTCAATAGATTTTTCCTACGATTTCTGATCTATAGTATTACTACAGTCTACATGACGTAGAAATCGGTTCAGTGGTTTAGAAAATCGAAAAAAAAAACACTCGGCTCCGCATCGAAGCTAAAAAATAGTGATTTAAGCGAAGAATAATCAGAAGAACAAACAAGTCAGTGAACAAAATGACTAAAATAAAATTTCAATGTTTCTTAATAAATATTATCATTTTCCAAATTATTATCGTTAAACTATTAATCATAAGTAAAAATGCGACAGAGAAAAATCACATATAACAAAAACATTATAGTAAATATCTGTTAAGTCTGCTAATTCTAGTAGCACCCAGTATTTTTTTTTTTTTAAACTTGGAAGGTAATTTTTTTAATTTAAGTACAAATTTAATAATTACTATGTTCAATAGAATTTTCCTATTTCAAAGCTAAGATTTTTTTTTTAACCTGTTATAAAATATATTCATGCAGCTTAAAATTATTGACTTGATGAAATATTAACAAATACAAAATAATAAATCTTACTATAATATATGAATTTAACATAATTAATGGGGATATGGACTAAAAAATAAACACAGAGTTAAATTTAAAAAATAAATTAAATTCGCTAAAACAAATAGTAAAATCCATATTTTAAAGGGTATACTGTATTAAGGGATTTTTAGGAGATAATTTTTTTTTTTATTGAATGCTGCTAAGTTAAACACATTATTTGATTTTAATTTTTTTTTAATTGTTCCTTATTACAGGATTCTAATTTTTCTTTTTTGTGTTTACCATTATAAATTTTAAATTACAAATTAAATATCATGTAGTATATTATAATTAAAATAATAAAAATGTCATATTTTTGAGGGGACTTTAACTATTTACTGACTCCGGAGTCAGGGACCACCTGACTAGCTTCACGGTTACGCCACTAGTATCAATGAACCGATAAATTTCTATATTGATACTTGTATCAATATCAAAGCCCACCTCTGCTTATAATATTTTTTTCAAACTTTAGGTGGGTCTCCAGCCTGCCTCCACCTTCTGCTTAGCTTAAGAGACAAAAGTATATAATTTGACTGACCTGGGGTTGCCTCGCAAAGCCGCATGGTGTAGAGCGTTGAAGCCATTGTTGTTAGCTAACATTATGTCGGCTCCTCCTGATCCTGATCCGTTGCCATCCAACAGCATCGCTACAATGTCATCACGTTTCTTTGATATTGCATCGTGCAATGGTGTATCGCCATCCGTATCCTAAAAAAAGATAAGAATTAAAGACCGCCCTCGACTTAAACTTGTATTACACCAGCTGAATATATAAGCTGGTATAAGTATACCTACTAAACTTTTACCAGCTTAAATTTTCAAATTTGTTTTTTTCTAAGAGCTAAGAAACAACAACTGAAAGTTATAAAATCAGTTTCAAATAAACGCTTTGATGTGAGTCAGTAGTTAGTATTTTCAAACCAGTAAAGTCCAAACCAAGCACAGTAAGAAAGTATTTAAGTGAGGTGTAGTGTTTAAAAATTAGCATCAAATCGTTTAAAATTGAAAGTGGATTTATCACTTTTATTAATAATAATTCCTGTAGACTTATGACCTCTCCGTCCCTACTATGCTTTGATCCCATTATGCTTCGACCCCACTGTACTGACTACTGGCTTACTCGGATAAAATCATTTTCAAATAAACGCTTCGTCGTTTAATATGTTAAAATATAGTTTTACTCACTTGCAGACTAGGAAGGCAATTTAATTTTAGTAATGTCCGCACCACCGATGCATGACCTCGGTTTACAGCAATGTGTAAAGCGGTTTGCCTTCGTTTATTACGTGCGTTTATGTCCGCATCATACTCTCTGACAAGTAGTTCTATCACTTGTGGCTCATCGCCAAACGCGGCGTGGTGCACTGCCCTGTCACCATCTTTATCCTGTAACGTACAAACCAAAATTGGTATACCTAACCCGGTCAGTGTATTAAGCTTAGTAAATTTACCTCAAACTCTACATTGGCTCCGTACTCAGCGACAAGCATTCGACACAACTGGACGTGTCCGTTTTGAGCGGCTGCTTGCAGAGCGCAATGTCCATTGTACACGTAATTTACAAGACTGTTACTTGAACTGCCGGTGGTTGGGGAGTTTTGAGTACTTTTTTGTCCTTCAGACACTTGTTCGTCAGGAGACTCTTGAGTGGCATTGGAAGTATCTGTTGCGGGAATAGCAGAAGCAGCAGCAGCATTCGACGGAGATGCAGAAGCGCCGGACGATGAAGAGCTTCTCGAGAAACTAGGTTGATTATTATTATTGTTATTAGAGCTAGTTGTACCAGAGTCATTAGTTTGAGACTGTTGGACACAATCTTGTTTTTTGTGAAGTTCCAATATATGACGACAAGTCTGGGTATCACCATTGGCAGCAGACTTGACTAATTGTTCACCCAAACAAGCTGTGTTGGCTCCTCCGAGTTTGGCCAGTTGCATTTTTTTAATTAGTATAGCTAAAGAAGTATAAACATTTTGTAATAATAAAGTTCAGTTTTTTTAGTTTTAACAAAAGTATGTTTTTACTTTCATCGCAGTCTCCATCGCGTATGTACAACAACTCCTCATACTGCTGATCATCTCCTCCGTAGTAATAACCTCCAGCTGCCCCTAAAAGTTGTCCGGACTGAGACACTAATTTGAGGCATCTCGGATTATACGTCCAAGACGTATCACAAACTGCTACTTTTAAATCACCGTCGTCATATATTTGCTGAACGATGCCAATTTTACCCAAAGTCTAAACAGCATATCATGTCAAAGTATGAAAAATTAAAATAAACAAATTGTATGAGACATACCATTGACATAGCATCAGCCCATTCACCATGACCTCTTTGCAACGTCTTAACTCTCTGTAAATCTCCGTCTACTAAAACAGTCGATCCCACAGTTATTAAAGGCAATGATGACCCATCGACCGGCCCTGTAGCACCAGCAGATGTAGGCGAACCTGTAGTTCCTGATACTTTAGTTAACACTGCTGCATTAAATGTCCACCTAAATATTTCAAGAAAAAAATATGTAAAAATTAATGGTTAAAGTCATCACTGTCTTTTTTTAAATTCATAATTTCTAATTTGCCATTTTCAGTACGGGCCGTTAGTCCGCCACTGTTGAAAACAACACATTCTACTGTGGCACCCTCTTTTGAACACAACCTACAGTGAAAATGTATCTTTACCTATTGCCACTCGGGTAAGATACAACAATGTCGTGATCTTCATCGACTCCAACCACAGAGCCTATAGCTGGTGTATTTATTCCTCCATTCGTAGACAAAGCGACTGGTCTAAGACATTCGAACATTCCGTCTGTCCAGCCACCATGTCCTTGCTGTAATGATTGTACAACATCTAACTCCAAGTCTACAGTGACCTAAACAAAAACAAGGAGCCAAAAATTAATTGAATATACAAATGATGAACTTAATCATTTTGTTCAGACTCTTAAAACAATTATAAAACATCAGATGGTAGGTACAATCTTATCTTAATTAAATACATCAACAATTTTTTTCACTATAATATTTACTACCCCACAAATTAACATCTAGTAAAAGATCATTTTTAAAAAAAAATCGAGCACTGATCATACAGATGAACATTACAATTTGCAATTTTACGAAGCCAACAACTTTTCAGTGTCACCAAAATTTTAATACATACAGAGTGATCATTTTATGAAATAAAAATGTATTTCTTATTAAACCCTAAGAGATATTGAGTGATCCACGATAAAATTATCACCTTGTATTATGAATTTAAATTTGTACAAGAGAAAATTTCTTAAAACAATCCTTATATCACATACAACTAATGTAACACTAAATACCATTCTTTCATTGTTATGATTAAATAAAAAATGACTAAGTTACAAGTTAATTTAAATTGGAAGTGTGTCACAATGCTCAGAAAAAATTCTGTCTTACCCGATCACCAATCTGCAACTGCTGCTGTTGTTGTTGTAACAAGTTCACACCAGTTCCAGTTAAACCAGTAGCTGAGAGTTGTCCCAATAACGGTAAATGGTCACGGTAAATTGTAGATGGAGCTTTTGAATCTTGCACAGTTTTTAGATCAGACTGTTAAAACAAAAAAAAAGGCAAAATAACTACGCATCCTAATATTATATAAATCAGTCTTTGAAAAGAATGTGTGAAAAAATTAACACATTCATGGACACAAATTCTTTGACTCTTTCTTTAACTAAACAAATTTATTATATACAATTGGTGTAAACACTTTAATATTTATATTATACTAAAAGTAGTTAAAAAAAAATGGAAGACTAAATAAACGCTTTTAATTTTTGAAAGAATGTAAACGCTACAGAAAAAAAAATTGATAGCCCTCAATAATTTTTATTGTTGAAAAGAAGAAATGTTTAAAAATTTTGTCTTCTAGGACAACTCTAAGTGATTCGTATAGAGCAATATTTTCCTTTTTAAATTGACATGTAAAAAACACATTCTTTTTATTAAAATCGTCAAAACTCATTTTTTTTTTTAAATTAAAAAAATATTCTGAAACCTGACTTTTTTGCACTCAAAATGCTCTACAAAATATTTGTATTTATTTATTTTTATTATTAGAAAAACGTAATCAAATTTGAAACAGAGGTGTGAAGATACATTAGGCATTAAATGTGAAAGCAAACGAGTTATGTTTTACTAAACATTTCAAACCCTACGTAGAATACAAATAGAAACTCTTTATCCATACCATTCCTTCAAATCCAACCCGATAAAGATTTTTAGTACCGCCTGCATTCTCCCAACAAACGTAGGCAGCACTGCGAGCACTCGCTGCTGACCAATCTTGTATGTCATGAACTTTGCCACGACGATTATTATTAGTCAAACTTGACAAGTTATTTTGTCCTAGTAAGTTTGACCCACAATTGTTTCCACCGCCATCTTGATCTTCCCATTGCCAATCGACTCCTCTCACAACTCGGGCTCCGGCAAAAAGGCCTCGGACGGAAATTTTCTTTGACTTCTTCCTAGGTTCCATCAGTTGTCTAAAATATTAAAAAACAATATTAATAACTTTCGTTAAAAAATATGTCTGAAACCCATAAATTATTTAGTAAGTTCTAATTATTTTTAGTCAATATTTCCATATTGATTGTACAAATTCTATATGTAGCGTTCAATCACAATGTTAGCGTAGCAAACATTTATTTTTCAAGAAACTAAGAACCATTTATCAGCAATTACGTATAAAGGACACACATAAACACAGTAATTATATATTTTTACCTGTTTACATTCTACACTTTGTAGTAATGAAAAATTCAAATAATCATATTAGGACAAACATTTTATCTATTGTTTGACTTTAACATTTGATAACAAATAATACAATATCAACTCGAGATATTTTTTTTATCGGTTATTTGTTTAAATCTACAAATGCCGAAGGAATTCCGAAGCAAATCAAGAAAATATTTTTGTCCGTATCAAGACGCATACATAATAAATAATAATATCAGGGTTCCAATAAAAAATAGATAATCAAGCTGCAACTTATAAAAGTTATTAATCAAATTTAATGAATACATGTTATTCTTATCAGTGGTTCAAAACAAAAAATTAAGTTTTCACTATCAATTAAACACGGGTCTCAATAATACTAAATTAAGTAATTTACAATTGATTAAGGGTGGTGCTCACCAATTAAGGTTAAAAATGAAGTATAGTTTATGAATAAATAAGTTATAGACTAAACTCTACAAAAAAATGTTAAACTAAACTGGTGATGACGGCCATTCAACACATTTTATTTTACAAAAAAAAATTTGGAACAGTTTTAATTTTTGTTTTCTTTTGGCGACATGTTTAAACATATTGATATTCTGTTTTCAAAATAACTCCAGTGCCATATTTTAACAATTTTTACTGAAGAATTGTATTTAATTATATCTTGGTTAGGTTAGGTTTTACTTATAATAATGGCGGCAAATTTAGTGCCCATAGTCATAAAAAAGCTAAATCTGCCTCTGTATATAGGAAATTCTCTAATACAATATTAACATTTATACAAAACCTTTCTTATTTACAAATAATACTGAATACCGTTAGTAATAACAACTTGTTAGTAAACCCATTAATACATGTAAGAAACAATATTAAATAACGTGAGAAAAATATGTGTTAGTTTTTTAGTACTTAAATTAATAATATAGTTAATACTCAAATGCTCTAAAATAATAGAATATATTTGAAATATTTACTCCTTTTTCTTTTTTACATAAGGTACTCGACTGGCTAAGCCTACTGTTCACCGAACAGTGGATTTTGTAACATTCACTTTATTAATTTATTAACATTTACCTCTCTCCATTAGGATAAGTGATTCTATAAAAACGATGACGAGTATTATGTTTGTCTCCGTGATAACACCAAGTGCACAAATCGTAGTTGGGACAATCGGCGCACTTCCATCGATGACCTACGATGGGTTGTTGATGGCATGTATCGCACATGCTACCTAAATGTCGCTGACCTATTATAAAAAAAAAAAAAAACTTGAGTTAAAAAATTTTTTTTTTTAAATTGTTCATTAAAACATTTTAACCGATACACAATTTGTAGACTTTTATCAGAAATCTCTACCACAATTTGTTGTTGAAAGTTTACAAATTTCTTTTAAAACTTCTTGATCAAGTATATCATAACTCGTACCTGTTGGGCCACTGTCCAGAACGCGTAAGTCATATTGACGGCAACAACGGTAGTTAGCAGCTATACCATTGTCCCAAACGACCACTACCTCTTCACGTGATTCAAAGTTTCGCACTGTCCCAGTATGCCCTTCTCCACCATCCTAAAAAAAATATACATAAATATATTTTACTAAATTATATTACATAAACATAAAATAAAAATTTGATGTTTTTGAAGTACGAAAATGTATTGCACTACAATAGATCGATTAAAAATAAAATATAATTAAGTTAAGTGAATGAAAAATATTTATTCATGCCTACATTTGAGTTGATATGTTAAGGAAAAAATTATTATAAATACTAATAATGATAACTTTGAACTTAAATCAAAAGTTGATAGGCATAAATTTGAGTTTAGTATCTACCTATCTGTTGTTGTAACACAAAAATAAGAAACAATCTATAAACTAAAAGTTTTAAACATTAAAATGATACCTTCGATTAAGGTTTAATAATAATAATGTTATGCGTCTAAATTGTTATGTTGACTTTTGTAATTTTTATCATTTAATTTTTAATTGGTCCTCACTAATGTTAAAATAATTTTACTACATAACAATTATCGTTAACTTTTATTAATTTTCTCAATTCAATCTCCATACTTTTTTCTAAAAAAAACAAATGAATGCTCTCAGTTTGTTAGTCTACATTCACTGATTACACTCTTAACATATTACAATACATTTAAATGACAATTACACTAAGGGCTTTATAAATAAAAAGACTTGCTTCCACAAGGAATTGAACAAAAGTTAGTAAAAGAGAAAGTAGAATTTAAACATTATGTTATTTTTATAAAATAGTCACAATATTTACAGAAGGGTGTATGTCTTCAAATCTTTCATTTTTTAGTGTTAGACACATCTCTATAATTGAATTTGGTAAATGATTCATTAAAGAAGATGGGCTATGTAAAAATCTGATGCCGCCCAAGGCGATCGCTCCCTCTAGCCCCCCCCCCTAAATACGTCACTGTCTATATGTTTACTTTAAGTTAAAACTTTAATCTATAATAAAGTTATTATTATTGTATTATTACATTAATTTAGTCTAGATAATAACCTTTGAATATAAACACTGGTTTTTGAAGGAGAGCTGACGTTTTATTATTGTAATATTATTATAATTTGTTGCAATTGTTGATCTTTGAGTGTGATAAACTAATGTTCATTACAGTAGATTCTTATTTTGTCAAATATCAAATAGGTATTCCGAAAGAATCTACTGTGAAATTTTAATATTTCTAGAAAAGTCAATGAAATGGACGCAGAGGATCTTAATTCAAGTGACCCGCCCAGATTTTTTTAGATACTCGAAATGGCCAGTGCAGACATGAGTCATATTCATAAAAATTTAGTTGGATATAAATTGCAAAACGTATCATTTGATTACTAGATTATGAAGTATGTCTATTAAAATGATAAAACATTATTTGTACACAGTATAAACACAACAATCATAAAAATAGTTATACATACATTTTTTTTTCACCAATTTTTATAAAAACCCTATGTTATAAAATTTCGATATCGAACCTAATATTATCTTTACTTAGAAATTTGATGTGGCGAGAAAATAATGTATTAGAAATCGGTATATTGATGTAGGTATAATATATATATATATATATATATATATATATAGAGAAAGTAAGTGGCCTAAAGGTTATAATACTTGATGTTAATTTCATTTTTGTTATACCGAGATTTTTCCCTTCTAACTTGATATTTTTCTTAAGATCAATAACATAAAAAAAAAAATTGAATTTCTTTGTAAACATAAAACTAGCGAGTTATTAAACACGGGAAAAAAATGTTTATCCTTAAAAAGTTTGAATTACCTGTTTACCCCATTTCCAGTCGGGGCCACGAATAACCCTAGACCCGACCTGCTGTTGCAACTCCTGCATCTGGAAACTGGTACTCGAACACCAGTTGCTCGGATTAGCACCGTTCTGTTGTACGGCGTTTACCGACGACGGTGTTCTCGACGCATCGCCGGTGCTTTGAACACTTGCGCTCGCTACCGCAGCGGCATCATTGTCTACCATATCTTTCCACAAACCGACGATCGTTTTGAAAATAATTTTGGAAATTTCGACAAAAACGGTTGACGACGGGTAACAAAGGACCACTGTGTATCGCGGTGTACCGGTTTAGATAGTCATAGCTCAGCGTAGCGGCAGGCTAATATTACGGTGCACCGAGTGAAATGGCGATCGCACGGTTCGAGGGGAGCTGACGGCGTTCTAATTGATTCAATTAACTAACTGTCTAATGTGTACGGTCAACAGTGGCCAGTGGGTGAAATATCGAATGTGAATGCCAATGAACGCCAATACGGATAGTGATAACGATACACAGTGTTGTTTGTTTTCGTTGGTTCGCACGGTCCGTTATCAGCAGCAGCAGCAACCGCGTATCGGCAACGGCGAATGATAAGCAGCGATAGTGACGGGAAAACAGCTGACTTCCGGGATCTCGGCGCTGGACAAAAAAAAATACCACAGGTATGCCGACGTCTGGGCCGAACGCCGCAAAATGGCCACCAGCGTCGGCGGGCGGCCGTGTATTCGTTACGGGAAAACGGCAGCGGCCATGTTGTCAGAATCGGTAACGCCAGTTGCCGACATACCTTTGTGCGCGCACAGTCGACGGTCGTGAATAACAATTTTTCCATTTGGTTAATAATACATTTTTTTTTTATCCTTCTTCACTTCCTACCCCAGCTGGCTGTGCGAATCACACTCGATGACGCGCGAAATCCCACAAAATTATACGTGTATATATTAGTAATAGATACACATAGGTATAATGTATGTAATAATATTTTATATTTAGCAGCAGCCATGCCGTAGAATATTATTGTGATGATACACCAGAGATAACGGCAATAAATAATAAGGCAAAATGCGAACGTCGAGTGATACGTTTACGACGTACATACATGACGACAAAAGAACTGTTCTGCCAGTCGAGTGTACGACAACACGATATTTATTAAATTCAATCCTCTCATATTGACGTATCGGTTGCTTAATGTTTATGTATTATAATTGTATAATTAATATTAATAATAATAGTTTTGTTATTCGTATTGTTATAATATTGTTTTCATATTGTTAATACTGGTAGCTAATATAGCGGTTCTCCGAAGCCATATTATTTATACCTATATATATATATTTTTTTGTAAATAATTGCATTCGTTTATGAGCAATTTAACTTAAATATAACCGATTCGTGTTATTTCCGACGTTATTGTGTTTTTGTTTTTTTTTTTATTGTTACCAGCCACACCTACCTAGTCGTTCTGTTGTGTCTTTTAATAACTATTGTGATAAAATTTGTAAGACTTACCACCGTGTGTCCTCGAATCTTATTACATTATTTTTAAACGGCTTTAGTTAACACTTGACAGCAGTGGAGTGTACCGCGAGCCACTATTAGGGTATGAAAGCAATTTTTATTGTTGTGACATTACATTTTTGGCTCGCTGTGACCATTTTTTTTGTAAATTGTTTAAACCGTCAATTCAACATTAAAACATCAAGTAAATATGGTGTACATGGGCAACAATGTGGTGGACAGAGGACATCATCATCGTCGCCACCACAAACATCATCATCATCATCACCATCATTTAAATGGTCGTAGTTACTATTGGAATGACAACGAAGTCACTGGTGATGAAATTGGAGCTGTCGACCCGTCGTTATTCCTGTTAAACACTAAGCCTGTACTGTTTTCGGCTAGCACTCCTCCAAAAAGTTTACCATCGGTGCTAGTCGACGCTTCACAACTGGTTACTGCTGATCTGTTGTTATCTGCTTCGTTAGATGATAATTATGTCAATGAAACGTTAATTACAGAAAAAACGATACCTTATGAAAAAACGTGCGGCAATAAAAAAGAAATAGTAAAGGATAATCTCATTCCGATAATATCGAAAGCGATTAGACTTTCCAACTCGTGTTGCTCAACTATGAAAAATCACGATGAACTTGGAGGACTATTTTACTTGAAGCCACTTGGAAATCAGGTGAGAAAGTTATAATTTGTGTATACGGTTTTTTGACAAATATATAAGCTATATGTCATTCACTTTATGTCACTTTATGTCATTCAAATATTTATGTCGTCATTTTTAGGTAGGTGGGCACACTCAATTGATGGTGCTATCCAGTAAAAAAAATAATAGTTGCGAACCAGTTTTGCCAGATTTTGACCTAGATGTTTGGCAAATGATAGTTTGTAAACCTTTGAACACAGCCGAATTAAGATTTTACCTCAAGTTAAAAGAACAGACCAGAATAAATGAGTCCATTAGAAGAATGTCTGCAACAAACATGTATGATAACACAAAGTCTCGTAAAATCCATACCTTGTCTGAGTTCGTACCACAGTTTGAGGGCGTAATGGTTTTACATAAAGACAGTATGGACACTCAGTCATCGGCTATTAGTAATAATGACCATACATTAACGGCAGAAATGCTGTACTGTCGCTTTTGTTCAGAAGATAAAAGTACTGGACCCGAAGAACTCAATTCTGAAGATGTTTTTAATTTTCCTGACTCTTCTACATCGCCGAATAAGCAATGTTAGTATATAATAAATAATTTTAATAGAAGATCATTTCAAAAACAAGACTTTAAATCGAAACTAACATTTTTGTTGTACTGTACCATAATAATAATATATTACACCATTATTGTCAGCTTATAAATGTATACTTAATAATAATTATAATTTTAAAGAAATCATAATTATTATTGTATAGTTTTTAAGTGATTTAACAAGACTATTAGCAACATAAACTGTAAAATCTCTATCGAGACTCTATTGTTGTCTATATGGCTTTACAAAATTGTGCGTGTTATAGTTAATAAATGTATTATTAAAAAAATTCTATTTTCATTTTGGTTATTTTTTATTTACAGTATTTTTGCTTTTGGAAAACTTGACTAGCAAACGTAGGTATAAATTACCTTGTGTTTTGGACTTGAAAATGGGTATACGTCAATATAGTGAATGCGCAACTATGCAGAAACGTTTAAGACAAACGCTTAAATGTCGTATGACTACCTCGGCTGCTTTGGGCGTTCGTTTGTGTGGAATGCAGGTGCGAAAAAAAAATTTGAGTACAACAATTTAAAAAAATTAACGCTGTACCGATTTACTTATAAATTTTTTCAATTCTAGATTGCAAGTGGGACAAACAATGTATGTGTGGGTCAAGTTTAGACAATAATGTGCATTTAAATCTTTTGTTACTGTTACAGATATACCAAGAGTCTAGTGATACTGTTTCTAGTAATTATAACTCGTACTCGTTAATGAAACGTGATAAATATTGGGGACGACAATTGGACGTTAAGGGATTCGAACGAGCCCTTAGGTTGTTTTTTTGCAAAAAGTCAGTTGCCCACGGAAACAAAGAAACCGAATTGGAAGAAAATGAATTTCCAGAATCGTTTGATTCTTATAGACTGGATGTCGTTAAAGGTGTTTTACGACGACTTCGTAATCTACGTACCGCTATTATAGAAAACACTGCTATCAATTCCAATCAGACTACCTCACAAGCTTTGCGTTTTTATTCATGGTTAGTAAATCAAATTTCATTAGTCTTACTGTTCAGTTATGTGTAACTTATTATATGTTGATTTTCTACTAGTTCTCTTTTAATCGTTTACGAAGGAGCGCCATTGTATTCGGATTCCATCAATGAATTTCAACAGCGTAAAAAAAATCATTCTCAAGTGCAAAGTAATTGCATCGATACGCCAAAATTTCATATTAATAAACAGACACGTGCTCATAAACAAAACTATTGCTCCGACTTGGATGGTTCACCCGAGTTAGTGTTTTAATCAATTGTATGTTAATGTTGGCTCAGTTTAATATACTTTAATTATTATTATTTAGCAGTGGACACAGTGGAAGCGTAGAAAGTAGTAATGACAAAACTTGTACCGCAGCGTGTGCCACAAATAGTTATTACGACAATAATAGTTTACTAGAAAAAAATCGCCGCATGTGTTCGTCGTCATCGTGTTACTGTTCTCCGGCTCCTAGTTACACACAAAACAGTTACATGTGGTCTGACGATTCTGATTCCGATGAAGATAACTATTCCAGCTACGGCTCTTCGTCGTCCGAAGATTCTGACAGTGACGACGATATTTCATCTTCCATCAATACTCCGTACGATGTTCGTATAATTGACTTTGCTAACGCTTCATTTCTTTCTGGACAAAACGAAAACGTTGAGTGTACGTGTTATAATGACGAAAAACATTCTGACAAACGTTTTGGCTTGTCTCAAAAGACAAACGTCCCCAATTCCTGTAGTCCGGATACTGGATTTCTACAGGGATTACGTACAGTTTGTCGCATTCTTAAACAAATATTAAGAGATTCTACAGAAAAAAATAACCAATGACCTAACGTTGAATTTAATTGTTGTTAAAATTCTATTCAACTGTGTTTAAAACGAAATTTTACAAGAAGTGTTTACCAGGTTAGCTCTTTATAAATAAAATGTTTTAATGCTTGTGACAATAAAATTATTAATTAGATTTTTATGGATTATATAATTTTTAATATGTTAAATGATTATTTTTTATTATTATTATTATTATTTTAAACTTGGAAGGATTTACTATTAAATTTATGTATCTTAAATTGACACATTATTACTTTATGTTCCTTCGGCTTAAATCAAACCATTATTGTAGTAAATAAAGGTAGTCAAGGGGAGGATTTAGCCCATTTTATACTTTGTGGTTAAAGTAGTGGTTAGTTAAAAAGTATCACTTACGAGGCAAACTTAATATTATAGTTTTACCAACCGTCCTACTCTACTTGATAGTCCATATATTTTCTACATATCATAGTTTTATGTATTTTTATTAATGAAATCAAAGGGCTTCCAAAAGATTGATCTAAAGTAAGGTTGTTAATTGAGCTAAAAGAAAAAAATATTGTTTTATTAAAACTAGGCAAAAAGGGATAGTTAGTTTTAAATCAATTTTGTTACCCCTACATGTCTCAGATAGGATTTTATTTTTTTTGTTATCAAGATAGCAAAATCACTAAGCGCTAATTAAAATATTACCTTTTATTAATGATTATTTGTTATAACCCGATCAAACTGTTATTTACAAAGTCATTGTTTTAATACGTTATTAATTATTTAAAGCAAATTATTAGATTTCTATCAAATTATTATGTGTTGGAATATTTTAATATTTATAACTCATCAAAATTAATTTTTCAAATTAAAATATTATTTTAAATACATTTTTAAGAAAAAATTATATTTTTAATTGTTTAAGATAAAGAAAGTGATTTTAGTTAAATAAAAAATGTGTTTATTATTTGTCATGAAATAATGTGTTTCAAAGTTATTTATTATTTGTTTAAAATTTCACTAACCACCAATGTGATGTTAGCCAAACACCTAAACGTATGGTGTATATATTTTTTTACTATAAATATTGTACAACTTACAGTTTACAGAATTTATTTTAATAGTTTCAATTATTTGTATTTCAATTGTACAATTATAAAATCTGCTACTACAATTTTAAAACATGATTTTATAAAAAATGATGTTAGTGTTTCACCTTGTTATCGGTTAAGATAAAGTCTTTGATGTCAATTACTATTTTAATAATCATCATGTGACTAGTGTATATTATAAAATATAGTGTACAATGAAAAAATACATAATAAAAATGGATTAAACGAGGAATATCGAAACTCACAAATGACAGTGTATTATTTTAAAACCTTCTTTATAGTATGCTTAAACATAATAATTATATAAATATAACGATCCCAACAATTTAACGTGTTATACATAATATAATAAGTTAAATCTTAAGATGATGGAAAAAACGAGTCAACAACTCTGTACGTAGTAGAACGTCGGACATCGGCGGAGTTCAAAAACCTGTCTGCGTTAATTCTTATAATGTTGGCTGCATCATCTATCCTAGCGTTTAGTTCGTCCAAACTGAAGTCATCATCTTCAGATATTAAGTCAAAGTTTGATAAAGGCGTACCACACTGTAGGCTGTCTGATTCGCTATCTTCATATTGTTCATACACAGAGCACACCGAAGCAGTCACCATAACATTTTGTTTATTAATTAAACCATTCTGTTCATCGTCAGGAGTATCGAAATCTAATAACAACGGCGTTTCCTTAGGTGCTACTTCTTTGTCGATGTACTCAACTTTTATAGTTAATACGTATTTCAATAAAGAAATGTCTTTTTCGTACGATTTATCTATGGAAGACATCAAAAACCGTATCAAATCATAATAGTACGACGACGATTTTTGACATTTTGTCGTTTGCTCATAATCACTAGAAAAGTAGTAATCCAATAATTCCTTTTTGTTGGAACTATCGCACTTCTCATTCATTTCTTTAAGTAATGCGTCGAAAAACTTAATGGAAATTATCGATCTTTTAATGTTATCCGTACTCGGACTTGAATGGATTTCTTTATTTTTGCTTTCTTTACATGCTTGATAAGCTTGAAGGACTACACTCTTTACTCTTGCCACATAAGACGCTGAAATATAATTTAAAGGACCAATATTAAATATACTGATAGAGTTTTGCTTTAAATATGTTTTTTTTTTATATAGAATTGGGCTTATTTAAACAATTTTTTACATAAATGAAGCCATAAGTAAAAATTACAATCATTTCAAGTTCTCAAAAGGTATTTTCAATCTGTTTTCCAAGTATGTCACCGTTTATTATAATATTATAATTTATATTATTATATCGAAAAATATATTATTTAATAATTAGGAATATATCTTTAAATTAGTTATTTATTTTGTTTGACTGCCTAATTATTTTAAATATAATGCAGTTTGCTTAAGCTTGAAATAATAAGTTGAAATGAAAGAAGAATTTTAAATACATTAATAAATAATAAATGCAATTAAAAAATTATTTAACAAAAATAAATATTTCTTATAATGACTTTGTTTGTTTTAAGATTTGCTCATCACATGCTTACCAAAATCAATCATGCTAGTGTCTAAACAGTCCAGGTCCAACATCATTTCAGAAAGGATCGAAGGGTTCTGCAGTAATTTTCTACTTAAAACCTTGACCATATATCTATTCATGCCACTGGTCATTGGTTTCTTATTGCGTGAAAGCGTTGTAGCTGAAGGAGGAAAACAAGTACTAACCGAAGCCAACAACACTCTTTGTTTTTTCTTTTGTGGTTCTACAAAAAATATTAACATGTAAAATTTATCTAGTTGAAAATAATCTATATAATAATACTCACCTATTGCTTGTGCAGCCTCTGGAGTTTTCTCTATTAATGTAACTCCGCTCTGCTCGACAGTGGATGTCTGTTTACAACTTACAACGGCGTGTAATAAAACCATTTGAGCACTCGTTTGTTGATGGTAATCATTTGTTTCAAAATCATTCTGTTCGGGAATCAAAAGTTCTACCTGAACATCACCAAATTCAGAATCGCAGTTTTCGTCGTTATTCTTACTATAACAAGGGTCGGAATTTTTTTCTGGTTGTGTCAATCGCTTATATTGAGCAAACGCATTCCGACAGTTGATAATGTGGTTTTGCTGAACTTGATTAAATTTCAATTGATGTTGCGGAATTCCCATTGTAGGATTACATAACTTAAAAAGCTGTGAAATAAAAAATAATTATAATTATTAGTAAGTAATAAAAAAATATCTGTAAAATAGAACCCGCGACAAATAAGGTGCATTTAAATAAAAATTATTAGTTATTATTTACGTCCTGAAATTGTAGCAATACAAATCTTATCTGATGTTTTACAAAAAACAAATATTAACTTTAAAAATAAACAAAAATTTAGGTAGCTTTGGACTTTATTATTAACTCAATTGTCACTGTAAATTACCAATGTACATGACTAAAAGTGATATTGTTAATAGTAACAGATTTTTAAAAAAAAATATTAAGTATTGATATGAAGAAACCAACATTTATCAGGTATTACATTTTCATAATTAAAAAACGTTATAATAAATGATCATTTTTTAGCGTGTAAACAATAATTTAGGTACCTGATACTGCCAAAAGCATGTGTACAAGTCATCTGCCAATCTTATCAAACAATCGTCATTATCCTTAGGATTCCATTCTAATAGAGATGGAAAGGCGTTGCATCCGTCTTCTTCGGAGTACATCATTTCAGTGATGTACTGTTGAAATGAACGATTCGTAGATATTGAGTTATATTGATTACCAATTTCATGTTCCGCTCTTCCTTTTTTAACTACAGACGTAGAATTAGTTACATTCTGATGTGGCGAACTATGTTTCGATTTTAGCGGTCGACAATTTAGTTTCAAATAAATTACATCTGGTGCTCTGTGCGGACGTGAGCATTGTGTGACGATTAACCATTCAGTATAATAACAATAATTATGACATGTCGAATCGATTGATGGTGATTGCTTTGAAGAGGAAGGATAACACTTAATTTGTTGTTCTCCGGAATAACACGGTATGGACATAACAAACCGGTCGAGGCAACTACGATTCTTTTGTTTGCTATCAGACTCGTCAATGCCTGTACCGAAATGATTTTTATATTGAGGCGATGAAAACTGAAACTGCGATAGCAACACATTCTTATTCAATGTCCCTAAACGGAAAAAAATAAAAACATGTTTTACAATTTGTTCTCCTTAAAATCTGCTTTTATACTTCCTCACACCTACCTATTTTATGGGCGGCCAATTTCTGCACGGCGGCAGAGAGTTGTGGACAAAACTGTTGTACGACAGCATCGATATAGAGGCGGTATTCGTCGTCTTCCTCCAAATCTTCCTCGTTATTACTTGAACCGGCATTGGCCGATGCCTGATCAGTGCATCCGGTAATGTCCATCGGTGCACAGTCTCTTTGAACACCACGGTCGCTAATCGACAAGGGTACCATACTCCGGGAAGAACTGGCCACTGAATCGGATACTTTGCTGGACGAACTGTTCACTACGACCATGGCCTATACGATTAAATTGTTGTGCACTAAGTAAACTCTAGTTGTAAAGAGAGTATAGAAACTAACATTAATGCTGAGATTCAATAATATTGCAATTTGCGCGTCTATAGTGTTAATAGATGAGTCATTAGTATATTATATATTAATTAGTATAGTGTTTACATTGGAAATATTTCATTTCGTTGTTATCTCAAACGGCTGAATTGCATCGAACGTTATCGTTCTGATATAAACCACCGAGCAGTTTAAATCAGAGGGGAAACTTAGTGTAAACAATGATTTTCGGATGGAAGCCGCCATCTTCTTGTTTATCCCAAAATTATATCTACATCCAACTAATGTATAGATAATATAACATTATATTGATTAATAAATGAGAAGATGGCGGCCAAGTTTTTTTAGTGATAAGTATACCCTCCGTGTTGAATTTTCAGAGTGTCCACTCTTGTTTGTTATTTTACCTCCACCGCCGGTGACGGTAAGATAAGATAAAAATGTTTTCTGTAGGTTTTTTGATTTCTTCAATCCTTTTTGACAATACATTTTTAGATCTAGTATATTAATTTTTTTTTTTTTGGGGGGGGGGGTTTCTGTCATTAAGACCATACCGTCAAACAAATCCATCCATCCCTCTCTTCTGTTGCTACCATCCATTGTATATCTGATTAAATCCTTTCCACGTCCCCTTTACACAGTCTTCCCAACGCAGTATATTAATTTACATAATTATAAGATCTTATTTTATACTTTTCATAGCTTAATTAACTTTTTAATCATACAATTTGTCACACGAGGAATAATTGATCTTGGTAATAATATCTCTTGATGAAATTCTAATTTTACCAGTAAAACTACTCAAGTGGGAGTAACAGCAATTTATGTAAATAGTATAAACCCCACTCAAGTTTTAATAATGAAATTAATTCTGTTTTTATAAATAATTGTGGCCTGTAACCATATTAGTCGATAATGCACAAGTTCATGTATCTTGAGGATTTTGTTTCTGCTAAAAGTCTTATAGCAAACTGTACATTTGAAAGGCTTCCAGTCGGTATGTATGCGCTCTTATCTTACCAAATCAAATCTGCCTGAAAAAAATCTCAGACAGACGTCACAACGAATGTGGCTTTACATTATGACATTTTGGATTCAAGTACTTAAATGTAATCAAACCTTCAAAGTTCATTCTTGAACAACTGTATAAAGTCGACATACTAAAATTAGTTTCCAAGGCAAAAATGTTTTAAATCACTTATAAAGTTTTAAGCAACATACACAATACAAATTTGGAATTTTTCTGGCCAGTTCTGAACTCAAGAAAAATAACATGTTTTGAAATACATTTTAGAAAATGATTAAAACGTGCAGAATTGTTTTATTTAAATCTGGAGGTGGCTTAAAAATAAAGCCAGTTACGAAATATCCAAAATAAATGAGTGGGGTACTCGATTTTAACATTAATTAAAAGATCTTATGTGTTGAAAATCACAGAAGTTATTTAGTATAATTTTATATTTAAAAAAAGGCTTTGAAACGTTTAAGGCGTTTAGAATTATTCTTTAAAATTTACTTTTAAATTTGTTTGCAATAAAAAAAAAATTATGATTATTTAATAGGTTATGACATAAAATTATTAAAAATAAATATTATAAATTACAATTTTTTTTTATCTAAATATTAGTTATCGAACACCTAATTTGTATCAAAACAACAAAATATTTAGTTTTGTTTGACATCTTTTATGAGATTCAACTAGACAACATATCGTTAAAGTCTTGTAATTTTCCATTCGACCAATATTAATTACAGTTATAGAACTGCAAATTTGTAAATACCAAGATTTATTATCATATGTTTAGCAAATAATTTCACAATTTAAACAACAGCTATACTAGTCACAAACCTAAAAAATTATATTATATTATAAATATAATTAAAAAATGAAGGTGAACCATCAAACGAGTGTAAAAATGTTTATTTTATCAGTAAAAAAATATAAATAGTATAAGTTGAACGATGACAATAACTTGAATAATTATAATTAAACCAATTAATGTTAAGTATAGCACAAAAAAAAAAATAGTAATTAAATATTAAAAGTGAAAAAATTATCATTATAAGGTAGGTATTATTTATGTAACTTTGCTTGATGCGATATTAGAGAACATTTATGTTTATAGGTTTTTTTACATACAGCGCATACAAAGGGTTTTTCGCCTGTGTGTTATTTAGAAAATCACAGAAAGAATCCGATGTCATTATGAGATATTAGGGGAAAGTGAAGTGAAAGGATTTCATCTAATTATTGATCAAAATAGATACAGTAAATTTTAGTTAGTAGGTAATAATGACTAGTATAATAGTTCTTGTGAACTATACCCAAACCCCATTGTGTTGGTATAAATTTTCAAAAATGATTCACCTAATTAATATGAGTATAAAATATTCCTCAACTATATTGATTTTTTTCAGCTTTAATTGGTAGTGTCTGAGTATTCAAAGGCCAATTTTCTTCAATTTCTATTACAGACTCCAGCCATTCAATCCCAATCTCCAGTTATTCAATATATCGACTTCGTGTTTCACTATAGAACTGTTGAACGTGTTGTTAACACTAAAAACGATTCATACATCTAAGATATAGAGCCATAAAAACATAAATAAAAAAAATATATAATACTTGAATGAGTTTCCACCGATTGGGTTGTGGGATTCATTGTGCGCTGTCGAACTACTATTACGTGATTCTTCAAAGCAACGTGGCTTCATGTTTGCCGCTAAACATTTGCTAAGTTTGTTATTCAGTGGCATATTATGTTCTAGGAGTTTTTTTTAACATAAATTACTTGTTAAGTTTTATTGATACGAGAAACTAGACCTAGTCGAACAAATTTAGTCGAATTATTAAAATCCATAGAGTAACGCTTACTTTCGGTTGACAGGGCCTGATTCTCCCTGGAATTTAACAATGCTACTTTACTGCGTCTTTGGAAGTCGTATACCTATATTATCGTCAGCTAATTGCGGTTTACATTTCAAAAATTATCTTCAAGTAAGTATCATTTCTATATAATAAGTACGTGTAATGTATTAATTAACCACTAATAAATTATGTGATGTCGACTAATGATAATGCTTATGGTTTAATATTTAATCAATAATAATATCATTATATGAATTAGCTTAATCGAGTGGTTGTTCAACATAAATACTTAAAAATACACTAATTAAAACTAACCAAAACTATTGTAATCTGATCAAGTAAAACCAAGTTCAATCCTTTTTTTTTCGTTTCCTAGTTTTTAGTACGAATGTTTTAGAATTATTTTTTTTGTAATTTTATTAGATTTTTTTTTGTACAGCGATTGTATGTCCCGACAGGTTATTTGACTGAATTCAAACTGACAACTTAAACAAGTAATTATCTAACATTATATAAAATAAAATAACTTTGACACTGATAGATAGGTCTTTTTTTTTTGTATGGGATTACACATTACGGCTTACAATTTTTAATATTTATAATAACGCACTAAGATGGCGTTCTGGTTAGGCAAAACTGATACAAGAAGTTGTCAGTATCGGTATATATTACCTACTATAAAAAATACTGCTATACATAGTCACTAACTACTATAAAAAAAATGGATTATCGCATAATCACACACCAGTCACTTCAGTGAAAAAGAGTTCATTATTTTAAAAATTAAACACTATCTAATGTATAATATATAGTAAACATATTTAACTCTCCGAAGAGATTGTCATTAGTTACATTGTATAGGATCACAGGTAAACATAATATTTAATTGTTATATACATGTTTAATGAAAAACATGTGTAATTTATCATTTTAAAAAAACCTTCTTTTCTATGAAGATATAGAAAATAACTTTAAATAACCACTGAGGTAACTGGAGAACCAGGTTAAACCTACCTAACACCAAAGAAATACAAGATAAAAATACTACGGATTAAAAAATCAAAACATACATATCTTATAAATATCAGTATCATTTATAACCACCTCATAATTAATACACTTTTAGTTATACTTCAAAAAATAATTTTTTTAAGTGAATTTTTTTTTAACAAAAATGTTTTAATAAAAAACTATTGGATTAAAAAAAATTTGTATTAAATAATGGGGCTTTTGGAGAGAATGTATGAAAATTATACATTTACTGGTTAAAAATATTTTGAAGGATAATTACTATCCAAGTTCCCCTTTTAACAATCGGTGGGAGTCTAGACATAAATGAGAGCTTACTCAGTTCCATAGGGGCAAATATTGGGGGTGCTAATGAGTATAATTTGAGGGTTTAACATAATGCACTATTGGTATTAGCGTTTGATGTATTTAATTTAAAATATTGAAATAGTCGCCAGTTATTATTGCTAGGCACTTAATGTAGGGGGATTATAATTATCGAAGGAAACGGTATGTGAGCGTCAAAAAAATCAACTTTTTCAAATAGCCTTTAAATTACAATGACAATACAATACGATTATTGTTGGAGGTTCCTACTTTTACCGCTAGAGGCCACGCTGTGTACCATTCACTCTGAAATAACCTCTGCCCCTTATGGTACGTATTGCAATCTTCCCTTGGAAATTCCCGTTAAGGTCCAGTGCGGGCAGTTGAAAATGGGATGTATTCGGTGTTTCTGTATTCCACGAAAGTCTTTAAAGATAGAGGAATCCGTTTGCTATGTTCTACTCCAGTATATCTACCACGATATTATAACCAGGTCTAGTAACTCCATACACGGAAAAGCGTAGCTGTTTTTTTTTAATACGGCGGCCACCGGTGTACGTTGATCAGCCGAAACGTTTTATTTTGTGTGTAAAACACATGTTGGAAAAATACGACTGTGCTTTTCCGCGTAGGGCGTTACTAGACCTGGCATTCGACATCAGCCGTTTTTAGGCATAAATAGTCAGTACCGCGGTTAGCTAACCATAACCCCGGTCCACCATAACCGTGGTCACTACTATTAGAGCAGTACAATATTGTTGTTGTTTCCGTTGTACAAGCGTTGACCGGGGCAAAGAGCGATTACGGATGAGCAGAGCGGATGCTCCGGCGCACGGTAGATGGCGTATAGTTGCCATGGAAACGTGACCCGGTACCGATTTCCCTTACCTCCCCTTCTCGCTTGTATTTTTGTCCCAATATAAGAG